AAACCTTTAAAGTAGAAATACGATGATTACAAGACATTAAAAAATTCTATAATAATTAATTAGACTAGAAATTAAACAGTCGCACAAGCACTATTGTGAGAAAAAAAGGAATTTACGTATATATCTGCGAAAGTAGTCCGATTTTACCAAGTAAAAGTTAAAGCTAGCGATTCTCATGGGCGAAATATCGAGTTTTTACTACAGTTTTCAGAATATTCCCACGCTTCAAAGAATGCTGTTTATGTACCAATGTATAAAAAACGCCCGCTTGCACTTTCACGAGACTAATGATATTTCCTTCTCATTAATTAATGCCAAAATTGATTATTTATACGCATTCGCCGATATTTAATTGTCTTTCGTTTTCACATGGGAATCAGCCGCATTGACAAGATATTACGGTTTTGTTTCAGATCATTACAGCGTGCTCGCCGATCAAGAACCTCTCTATCAGTTTTACGCAGCTGCAGTGGCTCGTGTCGCTTTCGAATCGGATTCCGAAGGCTACGAAGAGGTAATATTTTTGTTGTATTTCTTGCATTTAAATATAATAAGCACGTTTTCCTAAAAAATTTTTATATACATTAAATTCTCTTAAATAATTTTTATAAATGAAAGATGTTAATATATTTTTCTTTGCACATGATTTTTTTGACAAATTTTACTTTCTTTACAGTAATTATTCAAAAAGAATAAAAGCTTTAATTTTCCTTTGCTTTTATAATTTAATAAAATCTACAATTTTTCAATTTTGTTTATTTAATTTGTTGAATGAGACCGAATATGACAAATCATCTGTATTTTAAAAGTTTCAAAGTTGAACAATACTTTTGACGCATTGTTATTGTACATATTTTTTATTCGCAGGTGGAAGATATGATGTTGAAGACGGAATCAACCGCGACAAATCTTTCCAGATCGGGACAAAGAATGCTATGGTGTCATACTCCACAAGTAATGAACAGTGATCTTTTGCGTAAGTTACAAACATTATAATTAAAAATAAAATTTTTCTGATACGACCGAATTTGATAAAAGATATTTAACATTTAGAGAAACTAACACCGGAGGAGAAGAAGATTCAGGAGGCGAAATTCGAGATTCTGACCTCCGAAGCGTCGTATTTAAATTCTCTTCGAGTCCTAGAGAACGAGTTTCTCAATAACCATACATTAATGAATGATATTCTAACACCAATCGAGAGAAAGAAATTATTCGGCGGCGTGCCGAGCGTGTTGTCGGCGTCGCAAACGTTTTTAGCTGAACTGGAAGCTGTGTGGAGAGAAGATCCAATGTTACTGGGTTTATCAGAGGTCTTGTTGAAACACGCAGAAAAATGTCAGGCCACGTACGTGACGTATTGTTCAAATCAAGTCAGCATTGACACGACTTTGAAAGAACTCAAGTAAGAGAATCAGCGATATGTAATTTTTTTTTCACATGCATATACATATATTTCTATTTTTTGAAAATTGAATACTTTTATTATATATAATTTTATTGTGTAATATATTTTTTTATGAATTGCTTTTTAATAACAGAGCTCGGAAAGGCGTAAAATTCTTGGAGGCTATCAGACGCATAGAGATGCGACCGGCGTGCCAAAATCTATCTTTGCATTCTTTCCTAATGTTACCAATGCAGCGTGTTACAAGGTATGTATAGTCTATTGATCTATTATTTATAAAAATTTATTTTTTAGTAGTTTATAAGTTTTACTTCGTCATTGTTATTTATTAAAACTTTGTTTAAGAAATAATTTAAATATTAATAAATATTTCTGTGCAGGTTACCTTTATTAGCCGATGCCGTTCTTTCCAAACTGTCAATGGGGAATTCGGATAGAGCGTCTTGGGAAATGGTTTTATCGACTTTGAGCAATGTCGTTGCCGAATGCAACGAAGGTGCTCGAGCCGCTGCTCAAGAAGCTGAAATGGAAATTTTAGCAAGGTACAATGTGATGCCACTAATTTATACATATATATTTTCTTTATGCGCGTGACATGTAAAATAAATTTACATGTATGATATCTGATTGCAGGAAACTAGAATATTCATCGAAAGTTAAACCTATTGTGCTAAGAGGCAAACACCTAGTTAGAAGCGGGTCAGTCGTACAGTTGTCAACAAAATCGGACACCGAATACAAACTGACGTTCGGAAAGAAATTTAATAAGACGCCGCTCTATCTTTTACTACTTACTGATTATCTTCTAGTCACGAAATTGAAATCCAAGTAAGACAACGTTAATTAATACAGCCACATTATTTTTTCGATTAAAGGTTTTGTCTTAATAAGAGCATATAATATATCATATATTTAAAAAAATCATTTTAGAAGCTTAAAATTTTCTATTTCTTAAAAAAGAAAATTATAGAAAATATGTATAGAAACAGAGTGACTTATAATTAATATTGTCAGATTTTTTAATATAATTTTTATTTTTATCTTTACTTTTTGATTGAAGAAACAAATTTTAAAATAAAATACTTTGCAGTGCTCATGACGAGTGCTACAACGTTATAGACGCGTGTAAAAGGAATCTACTGGCCTTAGAACCAGTTTCTGAAGAATCGCCATTTGCCGGACGGAACGCTATGATACTGACTCTTTTAGAGAACCATTCCGGTCGCCATGTAGAGTATGTCTTTATGTGTGAGAATAATACAGAGCGAGAACGATGGCTGGAAGCTGTCTTACCACCCAAGCGTGGCTTAGTCGGTGAAACGTTATACGAATCCTGGGATTGCCCACAAGTAATGGCTAAGTATCTGTATTCGCCAAATCAACCAGACGAGCTATCATTACAGCCAGGTATAATATAAACTACGTATGGTGTATTTATACAATAATTTTTTTATATGAGACAAATTTTAAAATATGTTATCAGCAGGACATTTTTAGCAACAATTTTTTTTTAGTAAAAATATTCTATTATCTTTCCAAAGTTTTATGTTAAACCTTTAAAATTAAATTCCTCAAAATCTCTTTTTCAGTGGTCCTCTTATGATTATATTTGTAGTGAAATATTTTTTAATGAAAAAAATTAATTCTGATAAATTTAATAATACTATTCTACAGGGGATGTGATAAACGTACTGAGAAAGATGGCAGATGGTTGGTATCATGGTGAGAAATTATTGGACGGTGAGCAGGGATGGTTTCCGGCGAATCATACGAAAGAGGTTGCATCGGAGCATGTCCGTGCGCGTAATCTGAAGCAACGACACCGTCTTCTAGCACTTAGCAATAGCGTAATACAACAAAGAAGGGCGAAACAGAGTCAAGGTACTCATTAACTCAAATTCATGTGAAGAGAATGCGAATTGCTCGAATGTTGTGATCAACCAATAAATTATTGACTGTTTATACTATGATTTTTAAGTTACTGTAGTATTCAATAGGATTAATTATGTGCCAATATAATGTTACTCATCGCCAAAATGAGAAACAATTTAAAAAAATTTTTTTTACTGTAGTATATCAAAAGCTATAAAGCTGACGAAAAACAACGATTACATTTTGCTTGTACATTATGTATAAAGGTGTGAAAAGAAAAAAGAGAATAGGTAACAAAAGTATGCATCTGTTTTATTATTTTTATACAAATGTAATATAAACGTTATTTCATATATTTCTTCATTCCTAAGTATTTTTAACTTGTATATGAGAATGTTTGAAATTAAAAACAAAATTGAGTAAAAATTATGTGGACAATAATTGAAAATGTTTTTACAAACACGAAATGCGGAACAGTCTTATGATGTATAAACGGCGCTACGATTCATAAATATACTATATGTAAATATAATGAAAGGAAGCGATACTCTGATCTAGAATTCTTTGTCTAGAATTGTCTATAGAAAGCATTATAAAAAATAGCGTGCATTTAAAACTAATGTAAATATAAATTCGACAGAGAATGCAAAATTCCATTGTGGTAAACAGTTAATTATGATTTCGCAAATTCAAAATTCAAGTTTCCATTTGTTAGAGACTAATCTTCATCTAAAAGTGTTCACGTTACCTGCAAGAAATTGATTTAACAAATTTCTGTCACGAATTGTTTTGCATTATATTCTCAGTATTCTCACATTCAGACAGTCTCTAAGAGCCATTACACATAACTTTATAACTTAACGGTACAAAAATAACATTTATAATCGTATCAATCAATGAAACATATTGTAGAGCTGTACAAATCGTTAATTGAAACACTTATGCGTTATAATTATACCGCTATTTATAAATTTGCGCTTGACTAATGAACTTAATTAATGTGGTCGCCTTATCACAATCAATACCGAACAGTGCTCTCATTGAGCAAATAACTAGCCATAAATCACCAGTGTTAAATGCGTGTCTTTGAATGTCCAGATGTCTTCACATCAAACAACTTCCTAACAAAGTATCCTTGAATCATGGTTGCCACTGTGATGACAATTATTTGTGCGATAGACCACATTTGTACATAAGAGTTATTGTCCAATAACAAATTCAAATCTCTCGCCTCTCTACCTCTGCTCCAGTGTTGAGTCTGAAGCATCTCGTTAATGTTTTTCTCCACAGTCACAATAGTATTCTGAAACAGAGAACACATATATATATAAATCAAATATATATTTCATATATATTTGATTATATTCGTATTTATTATATGTATTATATTTTGTAGAAAAAATTTTATGATGCACATACCGTAAAGTTTTCAACAGAAAGATTCAGTTCTTCTAATTCTTGAGTATATTTGTGCCATTGATCATACCTAAATAGTTAATGATAAATTTAATTTTGACATTGTAGCTTATTTTTTAGATGCATTATATATGTTTGCTAAATTTATTAATTTCGCACACATCTTACCTAATTACTGTGATATACAAGTTCACTAATTTTGCAGCAAATCTTGAAAATTGATTATCAATGCATACACTGTAATAGCCACCATTTACAGATAGATCTTGATAGTCAGCATTAGAACGCCACTGATAAGGATAAACTATAACTCCTTCTGGATTTCTTACTGCAAAGCCAGCTTTCCCATCTCCACCGCGCAAGACCTGCAATCAAAGTAAATTATATGAACCAGTGCAATATTGATGTATCAATTAATTATTTTACATTCTAGTATTGTCACATCTCTAACATATTTTCTCCTATATTTATCTCACTGTCAAATTCTTATTTAACTTGATAAAATTTCTAATGATATCTCGAAAACGCATGCTTCACTGCATATGTAAATAAAATAATTAATTCACGAATCTTATATAATAATATTAACTATGACGTATGTACATCCCGGAAACGAGCAAACCACACAATCGTCATCACTTTCTACGATAAGGTGATTGAAATACGAATTCACGAATGGACAACGTGCGCGGACTATTAAATTCAACAACAAGATTCGTGGCTTCACGATATCGAGCACGTGTGCTTTCTCAAGACGTCAATCGTCTCGCAAGAAAATGGTCCGCGCAACCATATGGTCGGCCAAACAAGTCACATTATGATTTCCGACCTTGCTCCGGTTTTTCAACCCATTGTACATCCACCACGATTTATTCACGTTTTACCGCTTGATTGATAGTCGGTAGTACCTGAAAGCTGACGTAAAAAGTCGCGCCTGGATTCACATATTGAAAGTAGCAGTCCTCCTTGCCGGCATCGATGTGCACTTTGTAATCCATCGCGACCGCCGGCAGATTCTCGTAGGAAAAGCCATCGACCTGGGGCGCGACAAAGATGAGAAGCACACCGAGTAGCACTTTGATAATCTGTACGAGGAAGGACATTGCGGCGCGATGGGCATTACAGCAGATGACGTCCACCGACCACACATCACTTCACAAACCAGACTGCTGACCTGCTAACAGCTGCTACGTGTTGCCTTTATCCCTACCGGCATCCAGTCGAACTGATCAACAGTGTTTCTCAGCTGGACGCAATCATTGAATGAACGTATATGCAGGGAGCAAGATGTTTCCTGGAAACGTTCTCCAAATAATAACATATTCCAACAAGAACATAACCTCTTTTTATAGTTTACTGCAAGTTTGTTGTGTCTTGATTAGCAATAATGGATACAAAGACTTTAATAATTCTTGCTGAATTATTGAATGACAATAACAATGTGGGTAGAAGTACTATGAGGAATTTAGCCGAATTGCACAAGTAATTATGATAAATGTATAGGAAAGTATTATGAAATTTGTGCTACTTCGATATTTAATTTATATTGTCCCTGCTAAATAATAAAAATTATATTATATTCTAATATTTATATAATATATAATTAAACCACTAAAATTTTTTAATATTTAAATTTATAAGTTGCTTCAGTTCGGTTTGCATCTTATCAAGATATAGTTTCTTAATATTGTGTAAACCTCGAAAAATCAACTTTTGAAATTTTTATTAGTAGCTTATTTCGATCTTAATTTCTTATCTGGTATATAAATCTGATATAGATTATACCAGTTCGAATAACGATATTAATACTTTCTAGTATTGGAGTATCACTGGCCACTTCCATTCTCGAGCGCACTTCATCATCAGAAAGCGGCAGGGATCAGTAAAGACCGAGACCACGCGCGGTTCAAGATCTTCGCGCAAAACGATCAGACACGTCGAACAGAAGATTGCATACGTACGACGTGAGAAGTGCTGTTAAATATATCGTGAATTCTTGTGAAGTAAGTGTTTGCGAATGTTTTGTTAAACTTGATCAATTGTGGAAATGTTGTTGACACATTCCTGTGGTGTAACACTTGTAGCGGAAAACTCGATCGTCGATTGAAAAATTTGACCGGTTTATAGCGTATACGATTTTTAAAAGTAATTAACAGTTAACTTAAATTAAGATTTTTTAAAAACAAGAACATTCGGTAAAATTAAATAATAAGAACAGAAATTTTAATCACATTCATTTATAATGAATCATATAATGAATCATACTAAAATACTTTAATAAAGAAATTAAATTGAAAGAACGACTTTCACAATTCACATTATTAAAAATAATTTTGAAAATAAATTTAAAAATTTTAGAATTAATTTATCCAAAAATAAATCAAGATTTAATCGTGATAAGAGCACATTGAAGCATGCGCAATGAATTGCACATCTCGATAATTAATGTTTAAATTAAATGTCGGATAAAATAAAGTTATGCAAATTGATTGCGAAGTTAGATTTTATTATTTATTAACATTTTTGTTATCTAAAAAAATTTTTAAATTATTTTATTTGATGCATTAAATATTTCCATATTTTAGCGCTGTTTATGTCATTTTTATTTAAAAAAAATCAATATTTATTAGACAAATAAAATAAATTCGAGATACTGCATAGAAATAATCTCGTGTTGATTCAGGTTCGATGTCAATTGATGGAGTAATAAGATAGAAAAGCATCACTGCGGATTTCAACGAATTGATTGGTGCAACGTGCGGATGTGTTGCAACTTGCCGGTGCAACGTCGGCAAAAATAGGGTCTAGTGTTTATCGTCGCGGTAGCGTGGATTCACAACAAGTAAAAAGCGAAAGTGGCACCAGTCTCATATATATATTTAGCATGGAAGTCGCATATTTTACGGAATTTCCGTTGATCAAAGAGTATCTCCCACCTTGCAACTGGCGCATGCAACTTGCGACGCATTTATGCGCCGGTTATGCAATTTAGCATGTTTCGCGATTACAAACGCGATTACATCGTTTGTGAATAAATAACAAACAGTGATATGTTTATGCTTACGTGTGTATATTTATTTTTTATGCGGTGATAAACATATTAATGCATATTTGGTGCATATAAAGGTACATATTCGTGCAAGGCTAAGCACGTGTTTGTTTTAATTACTGTATATTGCAACTTTAAGAAATTCACTTGTCATCCAACACGGAAGTAATAAGTTTTAATGAAATATGTTTATTTGTTATGAGACGTAATCTTTCTTTTAATAGTTAATAATACCTGATGTATTATTACCAGCATCATAGTAGAATACTTATCTAATCTTGTTTACTTAATCTATCTTCTTTTCTACCTTTTTTGTCATATCATTGTCAGTTTGATTCAGTTTGATGGTCCAAATTTTATGACACAGTAATACTCAAAAGTAGCTTGAACAGAAAACATTGCGAATCAGTAAAATTTTTTTTAAAAGAACATATTGATTTATTTATTTTTTATTTAACAGATTTATTCACTCAAATTTTTATTTCTATACAGAGAATGATGGGTACTATATATATAATAGGACTTGTACTGTTAACAAGAACAGCAGCGGAGTGGAGTGTTGATATTCCGCCTGATATAACTGTACATATGAATGAAATGGTATCAATTCCATTCAACATACTTCCTGAGAATGATACCAGCTTGCCATCAAATTTATCTGTGCCAGAAACTGTGCTATTGACTAGTGCCAATACTGACATTGCAACATTGGATCTATCGCTAATGCATAATGAAACATTATTTTATGGTACTTTAAATCTCACTGGTGTATTCCTTGGCAAAACAAAATTGATATTAACTCTGGTGGAAAATGGGGTAAGTGAAATATAGATGAAAAGCTAATATTGTTGCTTGACAAATGACCAAGATTTTTTTTTTTTTTTAGAATAAAAGTAGCAAAGAGATTTCTAATATTATTATAATACGACAAGAACGCCTCATAGATACCATATTTACTACCAGTGTTGTGTTACTTGTATCTATTTTATATATTAATTTCGGTTGTGCGATGGATTGGAGTGTGTGCCGCAATACTTTAAAAAGGCCAATAGGTCCTTCCATAGGATTTTTTTGTCAGTTTCTTATCATGCCCTTGGTGAGTTTTTTTTAAATCATAAATATGATATACACATCACAGCTGATATGCGGATATTTTTGAACTTTGCGCTTCTACTTTTTTATCCAACTTTTTATGACTCAGATTTTATAATATTTTCAGTTAAGCTTTTTCATTGGATATCTTTTATTTCCTGATCATCCTGAACTGCAAATAGGATTGTTCTTCACAGGGATAAGCCCAAGTGGTGGTGCTTCTAATATTTGGACAGTATTACTTGATGGCAATCTAAGTCTCTCAATCACAATGACTACTATATGCACCATTGCTGCATTTGGTAAGGAATATATAATTAAAAAAATAAAAATAATTGTGTTATAGCACCTTTTAAAATTTTATTATTCCGTACAGGAATGATGCCATTTTGGATCTTTACATTGGGAAGATATATTTTCGCACAAGCACAGATCACAATACCTTATCGTCAAATAGGTACTTTGGTGATTGGTCCTGCGATTCCACTACTTATAGGATTTTTCGTACAAAAAAAGCTTCCAAAAGTATCAAGAACATTAGTCAAAGTAATGAAGCCTTTCTCCATAATTTTAATTCTATTTATTGTTATATTTGCCATTGTGACTAATCTGTATCTTTTCAAACTATTCTCATGGAAGGTAAGCTAATATCTTTCTTAGTTCTATGAAAAAATCAGAATACAAAATATGTATATTTATTACTTTATTTTAGATCATAATTGCAGGAATGGGCTTGCCCTGGCTGGGTTTTACATTCGGTTTTGTGGTAGCGAATATCTTTAAGCAATCCCAATCCGATATACGGGCGATAGCCATTGAAACAGGTGTTCAAAACACCGGCGTAGCTATCTTTTTATTACGATTTACATTGAAGCCACCCGCGGATGACCTAACTACTGGTAAGTGTGCAAATATATATACATGTGTGTTATCTAAATTATCTAATATACGTCTTTTCAGTGGTTCCTGTGTCTACTGCAATAATGACACCAATGCCATTAATAATTTTATATATTATAAAATTAATTTATCAATATAGGCAGAAAACACAAAGAAAAATGACAGATCCCATTTCTTCATCTGAAAATCTCCAACAAACTACAGATATTTCTACCATCGCGCAATCAAATGAATCTAAATTAATTAACCATGCAGAGTAATAATTCTTTATATCTGCGTTGATATAAAAAGAAATTATGTCTATTTACATATTGCTGTTAAAAACTTATAATTAAGGATAAAGTGGTGATATGTACTTTAGAATCATTATATTATCTAGGTCACATAATTAAGGAAGGTAATATCTCTACCGTTGTTTAAAATAATTGAAAATTATATTTTTTATGCAGATGCTATTTAATAGTTATAATTAATAGCAATTTATTTATAGATATATGTAAAACAGGACATTATTTAGCGAACAAAAATATTTGTTAAATATTTTATAAGTGTTAAATATTAAATGCATTTATATATATTTTTCAAAAGTGTTAAACATTAAATAATATTATATTTTTCTAAACTTGCTTTCAATATATTTAACAAACTCCAATTCCTAAACGTAAGATTTAGACACATTAAATTTATAAGTGTAGTATCAAAATTCTTAATTCAAAGAAATTAATATCTATTAAATTGTTGGTATTTTAACTTTGAAAAAAAGTTTTTAGAAATTTTTACTGGTTTACGAGTAAAATCTATGTCAAAAATTGGCGCCATCGAAAAAGTTACCATCAGCGCCATCATCCAACTGAAAGATAGGAACAAATAACAACAAATTTAAAAAATTTATATTATTCTTTGTGGCAATGATAATTATTCGGTGAAAATGTGCGTAAGCTAACTTTTTGCAATAAATATTTAGCGTAATTAACATTAAATATTGTATGTCATGTAACAATTGTACAATACGTAACCAATATAACTATATAACTATTGGTTAAAATTTAGCATTCTGAGGTTGGTCAGCCTATATCCAGGTGGTCGCCGCTCACTTCAACATGCACAACTTCAGTTTACAGTACGAACTTGAAGAAGAGTGAATGATCGTCTCGGACTTTGCAGTTTCGCGTTGGTCGAAGATGCAATTTGGTTTTGTCAGCCGACAACACGCTAATTGATAAATGTGATAGAACATATCCTCAAATCAAGTGCACGGTTGTGACGCGCGCATTTACGCGAGCGAAAGAGATAGAGTGACAGAGACGGGACGAGGGATAGAGCATGCGACCGCGCCTTTGCGACGTTTCTCCGTGCGTCGATGAGGATGGGAAGTGCGCCGCCGCCGCCGCCGCCGACGACGACGAGGGACGAAAGTAAGATAGGGATAACGTCGCTGCGGTGCGTCGTGCGGTGCTGCATCATCATCGCTTAGGAATGGTATCGCCGTCCAAGCACCAACACCAGCAGCAACAGCAACACAGACAGCCGTCGAGAGAGAACAAGTCCGATCTGCAACGAACATCACGTAAGTCCCGGAACGCGTAATTCCGCGTTGCATAATAACGCGTCGAACCGGGCTGGCTGTTAATGGACATCGCTAGAGATGTTTGCCCGGCTGTTAACATTCATATGTGCGTAGCTCCACACACAACGAGAGACCAATCGGTGATCACCTGAGTGTTCGAAACTTCTTTAGCAAGGAATATAGTTGTTTTGACAAATCTGTACATGTATGTGTTATTATACTAAAAAATCTTGAGTTTTTACAGATCTGGATACTTTCTGAATCTGTCTTACAATTAGTTTGAATACTACGTGCAAGTAGTAAAATCTTTACTGTTGTCAGCGAGTACTCTAAGTGATCATTGGTGTTTTCCTTGTTATATTGTGTGAACAATAATGATGATTCATTATATGTATCTCATCTCATAGTGCGTTCTCTGGATGTGAGTAACAAGTCAGTTAATTGTTGCTTGATTAGATGCTGCACCAATGTGACTGTATCATGTGATTTGTACAGCGGTTGGTTTGAATATGAAGCGACTAACGCTAAACACATACTTGCTTCACTACATTTTCTAAGAATTTATGAAAGTTGTTTTTAATGTTTTCTTTAATGTATGTTTCCATCAATTCATTCAATTTGTTCAATTCATTTACAACAAAAATCTATTTCCTTATTTCACATTATATTTACAAGTGTAATAATCATCGCGCAAATTACAATGTCAAATGAGTAAAGTAACACTTTTTTTGTAGATGTTCGTATACAAAAGGGCCCGAAACCTTTGGAAAAGAAGTCGTTCTATTTGGACGTAAAGAATCATGCCATCGCGGCCAAGCTAGAGGCAAAGATCAAGGAGTTGGGTGGAGTGAGTTGCATTTGATTTTTGCTTGCGCGATGCTGTGTTAGAGTAGTCTGTAGCCCTGTTTTCCGCATCGTTTCTCGCCACTTATCGATTTGTCAGAACGTTTTGGTGTATTTCAGGCGAGTGTGCGAGCCCCTCTCTCACTTTCTCTATCCGTCTCTTTCTCTGTCTCCCTCCTTCCCCGCTCCTGCCCCTCTCTGATCCTCTCTTCCCGCCATTTTCGATCACTATGCCTACAGCCGCTTCGACGTAACGCGCGCCTCGTTCCCCTGCCGAGAGCGCAACACAAAAATTTCTCATGGCGATGCGCTCTTCGGCCATTCAAGCCGACCTCGTTGCCGCGCGATACTGAGTACGCGCGCGATTATCGAACTGCCGGACCAACGACAAACTCGTTCCCAAAAAAATCCCGCGCGCAGACTTTACCGCGTCATTTGCTAACCACTGCGATCTTCAACACTGTAACTTTTTTGATTAATTTTCTAACGCATTAAAATTTATTTTTTATTTTCTTTAATAAAAAGATTATTTGTAAACTATTTTAACAGTAAGAGAGAAGTATTAAATGTAAATTTGTTGAATGATAAAGTAAAGTTGTTTTACTTCAGTTGTGTAGTTGTGTGTATAATAGTAATATCAATTATCGTTAATATTTCTTGGAAGAAAATATTCGTGATATCTCAAAAAGAAGTATATCGCTTTGTTACCATTGTATTTTTACTTTTACTTTGTAAATGTGTCACAACAATTTGTTTAACCGGTGATTTTTAACAGATATACAGTTTGTTGTTTTAAAGTTATTTTACAATTTGTTTTCACAAACTCAATTGAGATTTAATTAATTTTTTTTTAATTATTTAATAAAATTCTAATTTATGTATCTTTGATCTAAATTGAATGTTGTTTTACAAATAGACTTAGAAGTCTGTTTTCCACAAATATTAATTTATTCGTGCTCCACATTCATGCTGATCGTAATCTATACAAATCAAAGACAAAGTTCTTTTGAATTCTAATGTTTTCTGTTAGGTTTTCGCCCCTTTTTCTTTTCTCCTCGAAAATGTATTTATTTCTTTTGACATGAAGAGCACGGTCCGGCTACAAAGGGCAAATCTAACATCTGCGGGACTGATTCTTGCAAACGTGATCGAGCATAATGAACGAGGAAACGGGTTTCCGTGTGTTGCGGAGTCGTGTCCCGGCCGTGTTTCACGCGAGGCCACCGCACGTTACGTCGTTGCCGAGTCGTGCGCGCGGACTACGCCCTAAATTCTGCCTCTCTCGGCAACGCTTGCGGCAGCGACGACGCGATGTTAGCCCGTATACGCACATACAATCACCGTCTCGGAGCCGCGCGCACGACGGACGACCCCGGTCGAACGATTTTTCTGTTGACAAACAATTCCAGCGGTGAATTTCGCGTACGCGCCATCTTCGGAGCAGTCTGTGAAGCTAGCGACTAAAAGAAAACGAAAAACAATTCAAGAAACTTGCATTTTTTGTTGTATAAGATGCTTACGCATACACGAAGTAAATAACATGTTTCTCTGGCAATATTATATTGTTAGATTATGAAGAATTAAGATTTCTCTTTGAAGGTTAGAAAAGAAAAATTGGAGTTAAAGAGGTTAACAATGCAATTTTAGAAAAAGAGAAATTTCATAATATGACATATATAGACATAGAATATAATAATAAGTTTTGTACGTATTTGTATATTTTTAATTACTCCAATCTCATATCTTATTTTGCAGCAACGAAAAGTACAATAGGATGCGACATAAAGCAAATGCAAATTTCAAGCTTTAAACGGTTCTTACCAATTTTTATATTCAACAGTTTAACGGGAACGAAGGAATTAATTCCTCACCACACGAAGCGACGGAGCACGAATACGAAATCGCCTCGCAACAACCTATTAATAGAGCAGCTGTCAAATCGGAGAGTCTCACAGATCCGTCGTCTGTTGACAAACAAATCGCGAAAAACCGGTGCGCATCACGCCATCTGAGCGGCCGCGTGCAAAATTATTTTTCACGCACCGTGTCATGTGTACGTACGCGAAAATTTCGAAAAGCAAGGAGAACAGCGAGAAGATGTGTGGGAAAACGATGGTATCGAACGATGCGGCGGGACGACCGAACGGGAATCACGCGGCGTGTTGCTCCGGCGGTCGCGCGTCCTCACCGTTGACATCTGTGAGAGAGAAATAGACGTGCGCGCCATCCCCAGGCCCCCGCGCCAAGCTGCTAACGGCGAATGGCCATTTTGTGCGTGACAGTTGTCCGCCGCTGGCAGCAGTAGCAGTGAGTAATGTGGTGAAGCGTCCTGTGGCCTTTTTCACGTTCGTACGTTCGTTTGCTCATTCGAGCACTCGACCGTTGCCCACGCCTCTTTCGCGATGTGTCTCGTTATTCCGTTGTGTCGTTGGCCTTTGTGTTCGACGTAGATCCCGCGATCTTCGTTGTGCCGCCAAGTCGAAAGCAGTGTCGGGCGTGCGTTGTTGCGCTGGAAAAGAAATGCCTCTTGACAGCAGTGAGAACGCTTGTCGCTGCAACGCGCGCGACCCGTGTTTCCGCTCGATTCCGCATTGAGTGTGTCATCATCGGTATCGAGATCATCGCCACCCACGCCGGGTATCACCCCACGTGTTTCTAAGCGTCCACGTCCTGATTGTCGGAGGAGAAACGGCTGGCGGCTGACGCACCGCGTCGTATTATTAGAACAACGCTATGCGACCGGCGGGCGGCGAGTGGCGGCGTCCACTACGTGAAAAGCCGTGGTGGTATGCGCGCGCGTTTCCTACCATCGGATCACGTTCCTCTGTGTAACGGTCGGCCCCTGTCGCCGCCACCGCAGTCACAGCCATTCGAAGAAGGCCGCGAAATCACTTGACGTCAGCGTAAAACGCGATGTAAATGTGTGCTCAAGCTGCCAAGCATCGGGCCCCCGCGCTCGCGTCTTGTTTGTATACGTACATATGTCCCGCGCGCGCGACGACGTTTTGCTCGTTGCGCAAACGATAAACTTCCCCGGAAGTCGGACTGTTTCTGTCGCTCACACTGTTCGCTCGCTTACTCGCTCGTTCGTTCGTGCTCGAGAAACGCTCGCGGCGACTGTTTGAATTCGCAAACTCGACAGGCAGTAATCTCGATTGCGAAGGTCTTTGTCTGTGTTCGAGAAGCGGCTTGAGAAATCCCGAGTTTTATTTGGAGAGAATGTGACCTGAATGTTAGTTGAATGTTACTTAGCATTGTGTTACATGCTCATGTATATTTACTTGTTCATTTGCTAATACTTTGAATTTGTTACTTGCACATTGTCGATTATCCATTTTCAACCTGGTGTTTTCTGTTTTTAGGCGATCGAATTGTTTCTAATACGCAGTGTGAATCTTGTAGTCAGCGATAGAATAGATAAGACAGGTCATACGAACTCTGAGAGATCTAGATGGGTCTGTGCCAGTGGTGGCAGCGGGGGACCCCGCTCATTGAGAAGCATAGAAGTCCCTACGCCTACTCCTACACCCCCAACGCCATTACTAAGTTCTGAATGCCCCTCGTCTAATTCTACCAATCTGCGGGGTCAAACTACCCAAAGATCTGTAAGTACGAAAAGTGACAATGTGGATAAACAAGGATGTTGAAAGTGTCTCAATATGTCAGAAATTGTGTACAATATACTCTACATAATAAATCATAATATGATCATATGTTATTCTTGTTAGTGTTTGTGAAGAAAAAGTAATCTTTTTTCTTTAATTTGTCATTATAATGTAAATAAATTTGCAAATTAATTGTGCAGTGATAAGTGTCTAATAATTTTATAAAGCTTTTTATATTTTTAATTAAATAGAAATCGCGAGTGGATGCAATGTTGGAACGTGCTCTGACACAGCCACAACAGTGTTCCGTGGATCCATTAGATAACGCCCACAGTTGGGGAATTCCTATTTGGACAACAGATAAGCTTCAGGCTTGGCTTGACAGAATCTATGCATCTTTCAAAGATACTTATAATTTGAAACAGCTGAAGCAAAACAATCAGCATAACTCGGGGAAAGCTTTGAAGATCAGGCAGTTGAAAGGATCATACATCAAATTTGAATCCTTTCGCAAGTAAGCATCTGTTACTGTGATACTTAACAGTTTTTATTCTCGCGCATAACAATCTCTTTCTCTATTTATAAAATTATCCAACATCTTTATTTACAGGACTACCAGACCTGTGTTCCTGGAATTGTCGTCGTGGCCGACGTTAAACTTCGACGGTGACCCAGGTTCGTGTCCTTTTGACACAAAGAAGCAGGAAAAGCTAGAAAGCAAATTGACAAACAAGGAAGTCAAGGAGAATAAGGAGGATATTGAATCTATAAATAAGGCGGAGGTGCGTTGTCCGCTACTCTATATATGCATACGTAAATATAATAAATATAAAGTATATAAAAAAATAAATTTGCGTAATCACATTTTTTCGTCAAGAGGACATCATGGGCAATTTTTTTTCACATGGACAGGGTAAAGAAATGACTCGGAGACCGCGCGCAGCCACTGCACGTGCCCGCAGAACTGAACAACTGGTTGCTGGTTACTGTGAAATTTGTCATATTCATTATGACGATCTCTCCAAACATGTGCAAAGCGAGCAGCACCTGAACTTTGTAGGGAATGACGACAATTTTTTGTCGTTGGACACGTTAATCAATGCAGGTGCCAATGTGGAAGCGTTTTTAAAATTGAACAGAACGAAAGATATTGAGTGAGTGTCTACAATTGAAATCTTAGTTTTATTTTACCCACCTATTTAATTTTATATTTATTGAATATAAAATTATACTTGGATGTTATTTATATTGAGAGAGTTTGATACTTATATGTAACAGTTGTCGTTTGTAGCTAGTATAATTGTGAACAATTTGTTTATTTCTCTTATAGGAAAGACTGTGACTTGTTCCCCAATGGAGATGGTAATCTTCACAATGTAGTACTGCCCGAGGAGAAGGTTGACAAAAACACCAAGACTTTAAACAACTTTGAAGAGATAAAAATAGTAAACGGAGCACGCAGAAACCTTAATTTAAAGTTAAGCTCGCATAATCTGCGTACTCGCACGAAACACGAAAGTGGGCATCTTCTCAGGTCTAAGGGCAGCCCGTGGCATGAAGTGGATAAGAATGACAAGTTGTACGACAAATTGGAGGGTTTCACCATCAAGAAGCGCTCGAAGGGTACCATCTGGATTGAGGAAGATGATCCGGATGTAAAATACACGGAAGATATCTTGAAGGAATCCAAACAGGAAGATTATAAAATAAGGACGTTCTCGAAAGATATCGATGAGGTTTATAACAATAAGGATAATATCAATAGTAAACATAGTAATTCGGATCCGCCAAATTTGCATCCGGCGATTGTACATAATAGTATGCAAAACGGTATTATAAATTCGCGTCACATATCGGAGGATCCGGATTATCTCAAGAGTAAGGACGAGTGTAACGGTGACGAGAACGCGGGTGCTTTGGAGTGCGCGATAAACGAGAACGGTGTAGTCGACAATAATTATACCGGAAGTTGCAAGCCGTGCAAAGGTGATTTGTTTCAAAAAGACAATTGTGCATTACAAGCGAACAAAGTAACGATTGACGCGAAGAAATTTTCGAACGATGCGAACGAAATTGTTTGCAACGGCCACAATGACAGAAGTGAACACAAAGACCTGAAGGCGTCGCAAGAGGACAACATTCGATTCGTGAAGCTCAAACATCCCAGAGTCAATCGAAGAGGTGGCAGAGGTATTAGAGGCCGGTGTCGACATCGATTGTCAGTGGAGGAGCGTTTAATCGAGGATAATCGCGCTTACTATAAGGTAGAAGTGTTGGGTAATAAGCTACGATCGAGTGCGGTGCCGGGTGCCAATTTGCAACAAGTGATATTGAAAGAAAGCGATGGCGAAGAAAAAAAGGAAGCACCGTCGAGTGCTGAGAAGCCGGTGGTAGTGCGATTTAAGCGCGTGAGAAAGTCGGAGTTGTCGTTGCTGAGCGATGAGGCGGAGTCCTTCATGTTCGGCGAATCGAAGCGGGACGATTCTAGCGAGCAAACGAGCGACGGCGAGCAGAGTAGCGTGCTACCGAGAGACACGGAGAGCGAGGTCAACGATACTGCCAGTTCGTCCCTGCTGTCTACCTCGTTAAATTCCAGTCCTATGAAGCAGGAGATTCTCGAGGAGGACTCGCAAGATTCCATGCACTTGGGAAGAGCGAGGAAAAGAAGACGTACACAGGCCGAAGCGTTCATCAAGGACAATGCGGACTACTACAAATTTGAAACGCCGGGTAGCAGGCTAAGGTATCAAGCTCCATTGACCGGTATTAAAGACGGCGTCATGGACGACGGCAGGGAACACACGACGGTGAGAAAATCGTCGCAAGAGCCGAAAGACTGCAAACCGCAAACTGACGACGTTGTTGAGAAGACTTATCCGTCCAAGCCATCGGCGGAGATTGAGAAGATGCAGTTCTCCTTCGAGGCGATACCCAAGTCCGAGCCATGGTATCAAACGTATCAACGTCAGGACATGGGCGCTGAGTTCTGGCACTGTTTCAGCGAGTGCGACGCGATGAAACCATTTCTCCTGCCGTATGAGATCGAAAACTTTCACGAGACGCTGCTGAAAGCGCAGAGTAGATTCGAGATGGGGAGAAAGAGGGGTCGCGGTCGCGGAATAGGATCGTCGGGACGTTCGCCGAGGAAGAGTCCACGCTGCCATGCGTCCACGTTGGCCATTATGTCCACTATAATTCGCAAAAAGGAACAGCAGACGTCGACTCTGTCGACGATAGAGGAGTCACCGCCGCCTGTTAGATCGCGCACGAACACACCCAAGCCCGAGCAAAAGCAAGATTCCAAATCGGACGTGGATGAGGAACTGAAGGAAATGGCGAAGACGATTGACGAGATGCTGAGCACGAAGGGCATGACAGAACTGGACGATTCGTTCGAGCTCAACTTGGACCTCGCGCAGACCGACAATTTCTGCGGTCCGAACATACCGAAAGGCGCGCCGCCGAATCTGCTGGAGCTACTCGACAACTGTCAGGACATCACCAGTTGCCTGGAGAACAACTCGTCGTGCGCTTGCTCGGAATGCGGTGAGACGAACATCGATACTCCGCTGAGACGGCGGAAACGAAGAAAAAACCGAACGGGCTGGCCAGTTGGTAACAAACTGAAGAAGAAAGTACAAACGACTAGCAAGAATTTGATCGACTGCGAACGAGAATCGTTGTCGGAGAAGAGATTGTTCGCTGACAATGTTTTTGCCAGGCGACATACATTGGACAGTACGTCCAGTAGATTGTCGGAGATGATCGAGTCTCACGCGGTGACTACGTTGAATAACATCGCATTGTCAACCGCCACGGAACGACTGAGCGTTAGTCAGAA